ACCACTAGATTCCGTGTACTATGCGAGATCTGAGCGCTTCCGTTCTCCCTGGCATTTGCACTCTAAGTTCCCATACTGACCGACCTGGCCAATGCACCATTTTCCATATACATATGCATTAGATTCCTTTAGAACCTTATTAGCTCACTAGATTTATATATTTCCCACCTTCTGATCGAGTGAGACCGCTAGATTCCCTCTACTTTTTGAGAAATGAGCGTTTCCGTTCTCCTTGGCCCTAGTTGCACTATAAGTGCGAAATGCCGGCCAGACTGACCGATGCACAATTTTCTCTACACATGTGCGTTAGTTACCTTTCAAACCCTTACGTTCACTAGATGAATATATTTCCTACTTTCTATTTGAGTGAGACCACTTGATTCCGTGTACTATGCGAGATCTGAGCGCTTCCGTTCTCCCTGGCATTTGCATTTTACGTTCCGATACTGACCGACCTGGCCAATGCACCATTTTCTCTATACATGTGCGTTGAATACATTTCAAATTTTTTTAGCTGACTAGATATATATATTTCCCACCTTCTGATCGAGTGAGACCGTTAGATTCCCTCTACTTTTTGAGAAACGAGCGTTTCTGTTCTCCCTCGCCCCACCTGCACTATGAGTGCGAAATGCCGGCCAGACTAGCCGATGCACCATTTTCTCTACACATGTGCGTTAGTTACCTTTCAAACCCTTACGTTCACTAGATGAATTTATTTGCTACCCTCTATTTGAGTGAGACCACTAGATTCCGTGTACTATGCGAATCTGAGCAGTTCCGTTCTCCCAGGCATTTGCACTCTATGTTCCCATACTGACCGACCTGGCCAATGCACCATTTTCCATATACATATGCATTAGATTCCTTTCGAACCTTATTGGCTCACTAGATTTATATATTTCCCACCTTCTGATCGAGTGAGACCGCTAGATTCTGTTTACTTTTTGAGAAATGAGTGTTTCCGTTCTCCTTGGCCCTACTTGCACTATAAGTCCGAAATGCCGGCCAGACTGGCCGATGCACTATTTTCTCTACACATGTGCGTTAGTTACCTTTCAAACCCTTACGTTCACTAGATGAATTTATTTCCTACCTTCTATTTAAGTGAGACCACTAGATTCCGTGTACTATGCGAGATCTGAGCGCTTTCGTTCTCCATGGCATTTGCACTCTAAGTTCCCATACTGACCGACCTGGCCAATGCACCATTTTCCATATACATGTGCATTAGATTCCTTTCAAACCTTATTTGCTCACTAGATTTATATATTTCCCACCTTCTGATCGAGTGAGACCGCTAGATTCCCTTCACTTTTTGAGAAATGAGCGTTTACGTTCTCCTTGGCCCTACTTGCACTATAAGTGCGAAATGCCGGCCAGACTGGCCGATGCACCATTTTCTCGACACATGTGCGTTAAATACCTTTCAAACCCTTACGTTCACTAGTTGAATTTATTTCCTACCTTCTCTTTGAGTGAGACCACTAGATTCCGTGTACTATGCGAGATCTGAGCGCTTCCGTTCTCCCTGGCATTTGCACTCTAAGTTCCCATACTGACCTGTCAGAACATATAGCTTACCTGTTTGTGTAGGCTACAGCGGGGTATCCCATAGGGGGTACAACCCAATTAGGGTTTGCTATTTGTACTCATTTCTGACTTAGTCATTTCATTCCTCTGCTCATTTCTTTCACATGGTATAGAGCTAGGTCCCTCTAGGACCGTATTCCTTGGGCCCACCGAAGCGCGCCCACGAGGCGCGAAATTTTTTAGCGACCCCCCCCGAGTCGCCCTCTCTCCTGCGGCCCCGCCGCCCCCTCTTAAGCTGCTCCTACGCGGCCCCTAAGCGGCCCCTTACGCGGCCCCTACGCGCCGGCTCCTACGCGGCCCCTACGCGGCTCCTACGCGGCCCCTACGCGCCGGCTCCTACGCGGCCCCTACGCGGCTCCTACGCGGCCCCTACGCGCCGGCTCCTACGCGGCCCCGCGCCTGCTCCTACGCGGCCTCTACGCGGCCCCTTACGCGGCCCCTACACGCCGGCTCCTACGCGGCCCCTTTCGCGGCCCCTCCGAGCCGGCTCCTACGCGGCCCCGCGCCGGCCCCTACGCGGCCCTTACGCGGCCCCGCGTCGGCCCCTTCCGCGGCCCTTACGCGGCCCTGCGCCGGCCCCTTACGCGGCCCCTTCCGCCGGCTCCTACGTGGCCCCACGCCGGCTCTCCCTGCGGCCCCGTCGCCGGCTCCTACGAGGCCCCGCCGGCTCCTATTGCGGCCCCGCCGCCGGCTCCTACTACGGCCCCGCCGGCTCCTTTGCGGCCCCGCCGGCTCTCCAGCGGCCCCGCCGCCGGCTCCTTCTGCGGCCCCGCCGGCTCCTACTTCGGCCCCGCCGTCTCCTACTGCGGCCCCGCCACCGGCTCCTACTCCAGGCCCCGCCGGCTCTACTGCAGCCCCGCCACCAGCTCCTATTGCGGCCCCGCCGGCTCCCTCGCGGCCCCGCCGACTCCCCAGCGGCCCAGCCGCCGTCTTCACACTGCAGCCGAGCCGCCCTGCAGCAGCCGAGCCGCCCTACAGCAGCCGAGCCGCCCGGGAGCCGAGCCGCCCGGAACCCGAGCCGCCCTGTCGCCGAGCCGCCCGGGAGCCGAGCCGCCCTGCACCCGAGCCGCCCTGTCGCCGAGCCGCCCGGGAGCTGAGCCGCCCTGCACCCGAGCCGCCCTGTCGCCGAGCCGCCCGGGAGCCGAGCCGCCCTGCACCCGAGCCGCCCTCCAGCCGAGCCGCCCGGGAGCCGAGCCGCTGTCCACCCGAGCCGCCCGGTTGCCGTGCTGCCGTCCGGTCGAGCTGCACGACCTGCCCTGCCTGGTGAGCACAGTCCCACTATCACTGCGTGCTCTTCCCCTACTGCCTCCACTGCTTCGCTGTCGTCGCCATGGCCACTCCTAGTGTCCTAGCTTTTGACGCTGAGGGTCGCGCCATTGATTTTGAGGTCTGGCTAGATGACCTGCAGCTGTTCTTACAGTGCGACAGAGCTGACGGCCTTTCTCTCTTTGACCTCACCTCTGGCGCCTCTCCTGCTCCTGGTGCTGATGCTGATCCCACTGTCCGCTCTCAGTGGGCCACCCGCGATGCTGCTGCACGTCTTGCTGTGCGTCGCCACCTCCCTACCTCTGAGCGCACGCACTTTAGTCAGTACAAGAGTGCTCAGACCTTGTACGACGCTGTAGTTGCGCGCTACTCCTCCCCTGCCACTGCTGCACTGAGCCGTCTCATGCTTCCCTACCTCTTTCCTGACCTCTCTGCCTTTCCCACTGTCGCTGACCTCATCACGCACCTCCGCACTAGTGACACTCGCTACCGCGCCGCCCTTCCTGCTGAGTTCTGTGCTAAGAACCCCCCCCCCCATGTACATCACTCTCTACTACGTAGTCGCGCGCCTCCCTGACTCCCTTCGTGTAGTCAGGGACCACTTTCTCGCAGTCTGTCCCACCACACTCACTGTCGACCTCCTCGAGAAGGCCCTCCTCTCAGCTGAGAAGAGCATAGTTGCTGTAGGGGCTTCTCGTGGTGACCCTCGCACCCCCATCTTTGAGGGGTGCTCTCCTTCCCCCTTGCTGCCCTCTGTTGCCTCTGCTGCTGCTGCCGACCTGCTTGGTCTTGAGTCGGTCGGCGCGGCGTCTGCCCCTAGTGGGAGACGTCGCTCCAGCAAGGGCAAGGGGGGCAAGGGCGCGGGTGGAGCTGGAGGGAGCGGTGGAGGTGGCGGCGGTGGCGGCAGCGGGAGTGGGGGTGGCGGCGGGAGTAGTGGTGGTGGTGGTGGTGGTGGCAGCAGCGGCGGAGACGGTGGTGGTGGTGGCGGCGGTGGTGGGGGTGGCAGCGGCGGAGGTGGAGGCGGAGGAGGTGGAGGCGGTGGAGGCGGTGGAGGCGGCGGCGGAGGAGCAGGAGGTGGTGGAGGGAGCGGAGCTGGTCGAGGTGGTACCCAGCAGCGTAGTGGCGGTGGTAGTGGCCAGCGCTCACAGCGGCAGCAGCAGCAGCGCTCACGTGACATCCCTCCGCCCCAGCAGCTTCGTGAGTGGTACGCTGGGCGTCAGAGGGGTGGGGGTACTGGTCCCTGCACCTACGTTCTTCGTTCCGGCGACCGCGCGGGTGAGCAGTGTGGGGGTGCCCACGCCACCGCGCGCTGCTTTGGCCGCCTGACGGACGCTTGGCGTCAGCAGTTCCCCGGGGCTAGTGAGATCCCTCGTTGGGATGAGCTCCTTAGGGCTGGTGTAGCGATCTTTGATCTTGATTTTGATGCTATCCTTGCTGCTATGTATGCTGTGACATATAGTGAGGAGAATGAGGGTTACCGGTGTTTCCAGCCCGACCCGGGCATTGGTACTGCTGCGCTAGGTGCTTGTGAGGCTGCTGCTCTAGGTGCCAGTGCGTCTGCGCTCTCAGGTACTGGTGAGGCTGCGCTTTCAGGTACTGAGTCGTCCTCGTCCTCCCTCACTTTCACACTTGACTCCGGAGCTTCTCGCTCCTTCTTCCGAGACCGCACTACCCTTACGCCGCTTGGCCGGCCGGTTGCGGTCTCCCTGGCTGACCCCTCTGGGGGTCCTGTCCTGTCTCACTTCTCCACTGTCCTCCCGTGTCCGGCTGCCCCTTCGGGTGCTCTGTCTGGTCTGTACCTTCCCTCGTTCTCGACGAACTTGGTGAGTGGTGCAGCCCTACAGGATGCGGGGGTTCACCAGTTCACTCCTGCGAGTCAGCGGGTGACCCACTGCACGGACGCACGCACAGGCCGACACCTGGCCACCTTCTCGCGTCGGCCGGGGTCGAGTCTCTACACCCTGACCACTTCGTCTCCTCCTGTCCCTGCGTCCGGTCAGGTAGCTGCGTCAGGTCAGGAGCTTGCTGCTGCGTCCCGGTCAGGTCCTGAGTCTGCCCCCTGTTCTTGTCGTCTCCTGTCTCACGAGACTCTCCTGTGGCACCACCGTCTTGGCCACCCCTCCTTGCCCCGTCTTCGGAGCATGGCTTCCCGTGTCCTTGTCTCTGGTCTTCCCCGGTCTCTCCCTCCTCTCCCCTCCGGGCCAGGACCTTCCTGTGTCCCCTGTGTCGAGGGTCGCCTCCGGGCTACTCCTCACTCCTCCCACTTCCCCCCGACAGAGGCTCCCCTGCAGACGCTTCACATGGATGTGTGGGGCCCAGCCCCCGTCCGTGGGCAGGGTCACGAGCGCTACTTCCTGTTGGTGGTTGACGACTACTCGCGTTACACCACAGTCCTCCCCTTGCGCAGCAAGGGTGCGGTCACTGAGGTGCTGATCGACTGGATCCGCGAGGCTCGTCTCCAGCTCAGGCAGAGCTTCGGCTCGGACTTTCCTGTTCTGCGTCTGCACTCGGACAGAGGCGGAGAGTTCTCCTCTCGCCTTCTGCGAGACTACTGTCGGGCACGGGGGATCCGCCAGACCTTCATGCTTCCGGACTCTCCACAGCAAAATGGGATTGCTGAGCGCCGCATCGGCATGGTCATGGATGTCGCTCGTACGTCCATGATGCATGCGGCTGCCCCCCATTTTCTGTGGCCGTTCGCGGTGAGGTACGCGGCGCATCAGCTCAACCTTCACCCCCGGGTCTCTAGGCCTGCGATGTCCCCAGCCTTGCTGTGGACAGGGAAGGTTGGCGATGCGTCTGCGTTCCGTGTCTGGGGATCTCGGGCGTTTGTCCGCGACTTGTCTGCGGACAAGCTGTCCCCTCGTGCTGCTCCCTGTGTCTTCCTTGGCTTCCCCACTGACGCCCCAGGGTGGCAGTTTTACCACCCCTCCTCTCGTCGTGTTCTGTCCTCCCAGGACGTCACGTTCGACGAGTCAGTCCCCTTCTACCGTCTCTTCCCCTACCGTACTCCCTCCCCCCCCCCTCCCCCGGACTTCCTGGTGCCGCTTCCCCCCCCGGTAGACCCCCTTCGCCCCTCAGGTTCCTGCCCCCTCAGGTGTGTCCCAGGTAGACGCCGTTGACCCTGTCGAGGTTACTGGTGACTCTGGTGCTGCTGCGGGTGCTGAGCCTGGGGGTGCTGCCTCTGGGGGTGCTGTGCGCGAGGGAGCTGAGCCTGAGGGTGCTGGGCCTGGGGGTGCTACTGCGGAGAGTGCGGAGCCTGGGGGTGCTGAGCCGGGGGGTGCTGTGCCTGGAGGTGCTGGGTCTGGGAGTGCTGAGCTGGGAGCTGCTGAGCCTGGGGGTACTGCGTCTGGAGCTGCGGAGCCTGGGGGTGCTGCGTCTGGAGCTGTTGAGCCTGGGGTCTCTCCTGCTGCGCCTCGCCGGGAGCCCCTCTCTCCACAGGAGCTGCGCGAGTGGTTCGCTCGCCGCTGGAGGCGTGCTGCTGAGTCTAGGGGTACTGCTGGAGCTGGAGTTGGTGCTTCTTTGCCCGCCGAGGGTGCTGGTGCTGCCGGTCCCGGAGCTGCTGGGCCTGCGGGTCCTCCTGGAGCTGGAGCTACTGAGGGTGTCGGTGCTGAGACTACTGCTGTTGGTCCTGCTGCTGGAGGAGTGGGTGACGCTGGTGCTGTTGCTGAGGGTGCTGGTACTGTCCCTGCTGCGTCTGGAGCTGCCGCGCGGCCTCGGCCGTACTTCGTTCCGCTTCTGCAGCAGGTTCTTGGTCTTTCTCCTCCAGTAGAGTGTCCACAGCCTGTTCAGTCGCAGTCCCTGCTAGAGCCTTCCTCTCCACTGCCTGCTCCCTCTCCTTACACTGGTCCTACTGGAGGTCTTGCTGAGCGTCGTGAGCCTGCGTCTCGTCCCGCGTCGCCTGTTCGTGCTGCTCGCACTAGTGGTCGCAGTTCGCGTCAGCGTCCTCCTCCTGTCCCTGGCACGCACCGGATGTCTCTGCGTCCGTCCACTGCTCCTCTTCGTGCCCCTTTGCCTTCTCCTCCTGAGTCCTCTCTTCCTGCGCTTGCCGACCCTGAGTCGGACTCTCTTCGTGCTGCCAGTCCTACTGTCACGCGTCTACTTGCTACTGTCGTCACTGACCCCTCTTTTGAGTCCACTGCTGCGTCTGCTCTTGTCTCTGAGCTCGTCGACTTTGCTGCTCGCTGTCGTCTAGACTACGCTGCTAGTCTTGTTGCTGAGTCTGCGTCTGTCTGTCCTCCGTCCGTCGGGGGTGAGTGTGCTCTTGGCACGGACGTCCTAGAGGACAGGCAGGAGGAGTTACAGTGTCTAGCGGCTGCTTCACCTCATCTCGCGTCTGTACTGCTTGCCCCTGAGGGAGACCCGGATGCACTAGACATCCCGACTCCGCGTTCTTACGCGGAGGCCGTAGAGGGTCCCTACTCCTCTCAGTGGCAGGCAGCTATGGATGCAGAGATGGCTTCCTGGAAGTCCACAGGCACCTACGTTGACGAGGTTCCCCCTCCTGGGGCGAACATCGTCAGTGGCATGTGGATCTTCCGGGTGAAGCGGCCGCCGGGCTCTCCACCTGTCTTCAAGGCGCGGTACGTTGCTCGTGGCTTCAGTCAGCGGCAGGGAGTGGACTACTTTCAGACCTTCTCTCCCACCCCGAAGATGACTACTCTTCGGGTGCTGCTGCACATAGCCGCTCAGCGCGACTACGAGCTTCACTCTCTCGACTTCAGCACTGCGTTCCTGCAGGGTAGCCTGCACGAGGAGATCTGGCTGCGCCGTCCGCCTGGCTTCACTGGGACTTTCCCTCCTGGCACCCAGTGGAGCCTCCGACGGCCAGTCTACGGTCTCCGCCAGGCACCGCGTGAGTGGCACGACACACTGAGGACTACGCTTGCGGCTCTTGGGTTTGCTCCTTCTACTGCTGACCCGTCGCTGTTTCTGCGCACCGACACTTCTCTGCCGCCGTTCTACATCCTCGTGTACGTCGACGACTTGGTCTTTGCCACAGCGGACACTGCTGGACTCGCCTACATGAAGTCCGAGCTGCTGAAGAGACACACGTGCACAGACCTGGGTGAACTGCGCAGCTACCTTGGCTTGCAGATCACTCGGGACAGAGCACGCCGCACCATTACCTTGACCCAGTCACACATGGTGCAGCAGGTCCTTCAGCGCTTCGGCTTCACGTACTCCTCGCCTCAGGCCACTCCTCTGCCTACTCGCCACTCACTCTCAGCTCTGCCTTCGGATGAGTCCGTAGAGTCGAGTGGTCCGTATGCAGAGCTTGTTGGCTGCCTCATGTACCTGATGACCTGCATACGACCTGACCTTGCATACCCTCTGAGCATTCTTGCACGCTATGTTGCTCCTGGTAGACACCGACCAGAGCACATGGCTGCAGCGAAGAGGGTATTGCGCTACCTGTGCAGTACGTCGGGCATGGGGCTAGTGCTTGGAGGGCGGAGTCCAGTGGTCCTTACAGGCCACGCGGACTCTTCTTGGGCTGACGACCAGGCTACGCAGCGGTCGTCGCAGGGTTACACCTTCAGCCTTGGTTCCGGCTCTGTCTCGTGGCGGTCTACTCGCTCGTCTTCGGTTCTCGGCTCCAGTTGTGAGGCTGAGATCTACGCCGGGGCCATGGCTGCACAGGAGCTTCGCTGGCTCACCTACCTGCTGACTGACTTTGGAGAGCCGCCTCGTTCTCCTCCAGTGCTGTACGTAGACAACAAGGCCATGCTGGCCTTGTGTCGAGAGCAGCGCTTGGAGCACAGAACGAAGCACATTGCTCTCCGCTACTTCCTTGCTCGTGAGCTGCAGCAGCGTGGTCAGTTGCGACTTGCGTACGTGGCCTCTGAGGCCAACACTGCTGATGTGTTCACCAAGGCACTTGCGCCTTGTGACCATCAGTGCTTTTGTACCCAGCTGGGTCTTGTGCCTGTCTTGCCTCACTTGCTCTCTTCTTGACTTTACTTGTACTGTGACATATATATACCTGCTCTTGCTTGTCTTGCTTTATATATATGTCTGTACTCTTGCATGTGAACTGGCCTTTGGCCTTGCTCTTGTGCTCGGACTGTGTGGTGACTTTGTGATCCACCCCGAGCTTGCTTTGCTTTGCTTGACTGGTCTTGTGACCCCTTGTTCTCCCCCACTTTGCCTATGGGGGTGTGTCAGAATATATCTATAGCTTATAGTGTTGTGTAGGCTGTAGTGGGGCATTCCATAGGGGGTACAACCCAGTTAGGGTTTCATATTTGTACTACAACCCACTTAGGGTTGAACACACGGTGGGTTGATCACACGGTAGGTTCAACACACGGTGCGTTGAACACATGGTGGGTGGAACACACGGTGGGTTGAACACATGGTGGGTTGATCACACGGTGGGTTGATCACACGGTGGGTGGAACAGAGAGTGGGTTGAACACACGGTGGGTTGAACACACGGTGGATTGAACACATGGTGGGTTGAAGACATTGTGGATTCAACACACAGTGGGTTCAACACACGGTGCGTTGAACACACGGTGGGTGGAACACACGGTGGGTTGAACACACGGTGGGTTGAACACACGGTGGGCTGATCACACGTTTGGTTGAACACATGGTGGGTTCAACACACGGTGCGTTGAACACACGGTGGGTTGAACACAGGATAGGTTGAACACACGGTGGGTTGAACACACGGTGGGATGATCACACCGTCAGTGGAACACACGGTGGGTTGAACACACGGTGGGTTGATCAGACGGTGGGTTCAACACACGGTGCGTTGAACACACGGTGGGTGGAACAAACGGTGGGTTGAACACATGGTGGGTAGAACACACGGTGGGTTTATCACACGGTGGGTGGAACACACAGTGGGTTGAACACACGGTGGGTTGAACACACGGTGGATTGAACACACGGTGGGTTGAAGACACTGTGGATTCAACACACAGTGGGTTCAAAACACGGTGCGTTGAACACACGGTGGGTGGAACACACAGTGGGTTGAACACATGGTGGGCTGATCACACGTTTGGTTGAACACACGGTGGGTGGAACACACCGTGGGTTGAACACAAGGTGGGTTGAAGACACGGTAGGTTGAACATACGGTGAGTTGAACACACCGTGGGTTGAACACACGGTGGGTTGAACACACGGTGGGCTTAACACACGGTGGGTTAAACACACGGTGGGTTGAAGACATGGTAGGTTGAACACACGGTGGGTTGAACACACGGTGGGTTGAACATACGGTGGGTTCAACACACGGTGCGTTGAACACATGGTGGGTTGAACACACGATAGGTTCAACACATGGTGGGTTGAACACACGGTGGGTTGAACAAAAGGTGGGTTGAACACACAGTGGGTTCAACACACGGTGCGTTGAACACACGGTGGGTTGAACACACGGTGCGTTCAACACACGGTGAGTTGAACACACGGTGGGTTCAACACACGGTGCGTTCAACACACGGTGGGTTCAACACACGGTGGGTTCAACACACGGTGGGTGGAACACACGGTGGGTTGAACACATGGTGGGTTGAACATAAGGTGGGTTGATCACACGGTGGGTGAAACACACGGTGGGTTGAACACACGGTGGGTTGAACACACGATAGGTTGAGCACACGGTGGGTTGAACACATGGTGGGTTCAACACACGGTGGGTTGAACACAAGGTGGGTTGAACACACAGTGGGTTGAACACAAGGTGGGTGGAACACACGGTGGGTTGAACACACGATAGGTTGAACACACGGGGGGTTGAACACACGGTGGGATGAACACACAGTGGGTTGAACACACGGTAGGTTTAAGACACGGTGGGTTGAACACACGGTGCATTGAACATTCGGTGGGTGGTACACACGGTGAATTGAACACACGGTGGGTTCAAAACACGGTGGGTTGAACACACGGTGGGTTCAACACACGGTGGGTTGAACACACGGTTGGTTCAACACACGGTGGGTGGAATACACGGTGGGTTGAACACACGGTGGGTTGAACACACGGTGGGTTGAATACACGGTGGGTTGAATACACGGTGGGTTGAACACACGGTGGGTTGAACACACGGTGGGTTGATCACACGGTGGGTGGAACACACGGTGGGTTGAACACACGGTGGGTGGAACACACGGTGGGTTGAACACACGGTGGGTTGAACACACGGTGGGTTGATCACACCGTGGGTGGAACACACGGTGGGTTGAACACACGGTGGGTTGATCACACGGTGGGTTGAACACACGCTGGGTGGAACACACGGTGGGTTGAACACATGGTGGGTTGAACATACGGTGGGTTGATCACACGGTGGGTTGATCACACGGTGGGTTTATCACACGGTGGGTTGAACACACGATGGGTTGAATACACGGTGGGTTGAACACACATTGGGTTGAACAGACGGTGGGTTGAACACATTGTGGGTTGAACACACGGTGGGTTGAACACACGGTGCGTTGAACACACGGTGGGTTGAACACACAGTGGGTTGACCACACGATAGGTTGAACACACGGTGGGTTGAACACACGGTGGGTTCAACACACGGTGGGTTCAACACACGGTGGGTTCAACACATGGTGGGTGGAACACACGGTGGGTTGAACACATGGTGGGTTGAACATACGGTGGGTTGATCACACACTGGGTTGAACACACGGTGGGTTGAACATACGGTGGGTTGAACATACGGTGGGTTGAACATACAGTGGGTTGAACATACGGTGGGTTGAACACACGGTGGGTTGAACACACGATAGGTTGAGCACACGGTGGGTTGAACACACGGTGCATTGAACACACGGTGGGTGGAACACACGGTGGGTTGAACACATGGTGGGTGGAACACACGGTGGGTTGAACACACGGTGGGTTGATCAGACGGTGGGTGGAACACAAGGTGGGTTGATCACACAGTGGGTGGAACACACAGTGGGTTGAACACACGGTGGGTTGAACACACGGTGGGTTGATCAGACGGTGGGTTGAACACACGGTGGGTTGAACACACGGTGGGTTGAACACATGGTGGGTTTAACATACGGTGGGTTGATCACACGGTCGGTTGATCACACGTTGGGTTGATCACACGGTGGGTTGATCACACGGTTGGTTGAACACACGGTGGGTTGAACACACAGTGGGTTGAACACACGGTGGGTTGAACACACGGTGGGTTGAACACACGGTGCGTTGAACACACGGTGGGTTGAACACACGGTGGGTTGAACACAAGGTGGGTTGAACACACTGTGGGTTGATCACATGGTGGGTGGAACACACGGTGGGTTGAACACATGGTGGGTTGAACACATGATAGGTTGAACACACGGTGGGTTGATCACACGGTGGGTTGAACACACGGTAGGTTTAAGACACGGTGGGTTGAACACACGGTGCATAGAACATTCGGTGGGTGGAACACACCGTGGGTTGAACACACGGTGGGTTCAAAACACGGTGGGTTGAACACACGGTGGGTTTAACACACGATGCGTTGAACACACGGTGGGTGGAACACACGGTGGGTTGAACACATGGTGGGTTGAACACAGGATAGGTTGAACACACGGTGGGTTGATCACACGGTGGGTTGAACACACTGTGGGTTGATCACATGGTGGGTGGAACACACGGTGGGTTGAACACATGGTGGATTGAACACATGATAGGTTGAACACACGGTGGGTTGATCACACGGTCAGTTGATCACACGTTGGGTTGATCACACGGTGGGTTGATCACACGGTTGGTTGAACACACGGTGGGTTGAACACACAGTGGGTTGAACACACGGTGGGTTGAACACACGGTGGGTTGAACACACGGTGCGTTGAACACACGGTGGGTTGAACACACGGTGCGTTCAACACACGGTGGGTTGAACACAAGGTGGGTTGAACACACTGTGGGTTGATCACATGGTGGGTGGAACACACGGTGGGTTGAACACATGGTGGGTTGAACACATGATAGGTTGAACACACGGTGGGTTGATCACACGGTGGGTTGAACACACGGTAGGTTTAAGACACGGTGGGTTGAACACACGGTGCATAGAACATTCGGTGGGTGGAACACACCGTGGGTTGAACACACGGTGGGTTCAAAACACGGTGGGTTGAACACACGGTGGGTTTAACACACGATGCGTTGAACACACGGTGGGTGGAACACACGGTGGGTTGAACACATGGTGGGTTGAACACAGGATAGGTTGAACACACGGTGGGTTGATCACACGGTGGGTTGAACACACTGTGGGTTGATCACATGGTGGGTGGAACACACGGTGGGTTGAACACATGGTGGATTGAACACATGATAGGTTGAACACACGGTGGGTTGATCACACGGTGGGTTGAACACACGGTAGGTTTAAGACACGGTGGGTTGAACACACGGTGCATAGAACATTCGGTGGATGGAACACACCGTGGGTTGAACACACGGTGGGTTCAAAACACGGTGGGTTCAACACACGGTGGGTTCAACACACGATGCGTTGAACACACGGTGGGTGGAACACACGGTGGGTTGAACACACGGTGGGTTGAACACACGATAGGTTGAACACACGGTGGGTTGAACACACGGTGGGTTCAACACACGGTGGGTTGAACACACGGTGGGTTCAACACACAGTGGGTGGAACACAGGTGGGTTGAACACATGGTGGGTTGAACATACGGTGGGTTCACACGGTGGGTGGAACACACGGTGGGTTGAACACAAGGTGGGTTGAACACACGGTGGGTTAAACACACGGTGGGTTGATCACACCGTGGGTGTAACACACGGTGGGTTGAGCACACGATGGGTTGATCACACGGTGGGTTGAACACACGGTGGGTGGAACACACGGTGGGTTGAACACATGGTGGGTAGAACATACGGTGGGTTGATCACACGGTGGGTTGATCACACGGTAGGTTGATCAGACGGTGGGTTGA